TGGCTAGATGTGTGATTAGGCCCCCTATCACAATTTTTCCTAATGACGTTGCCACATTTTTGAAATGAGTCCATCAGATAGAAGCAACGTCAACTGGTTCTGGTCCAGGTAAAACAGCTTGTGCCAGAACACACACACATTCCACATTCTTGTGTGATGATTATTCGGTCTTCCGAGGAAACAATTTGAACAGAATTTTAAGAAAATTCAGAAGACCGGATGTTGCACACAATTGACACTCAGCTTAGAAAGGTCCACCACACCTTGTCCTGTCATTCTTTTCCTATGGAGATACTGTCTTACAAATGAAATCAGGAAGTTGCTAATTGGTGATGCTTCTCCACTTCATGTGATACATATGTGTACTACTAACTTCGGGATGAGAAGCATGCAAAATCTAAAAAAAGAGACACACCAACTTTAGCTGTAACTGCCAACAAACATATAAACTTTAATAGCTAAAAATGTTAAGAAACCTAAACAAAGATGATTAGGATATGATTAGCAAGTCTCAAAAAAGAAAATGAGGCCCTAATAATTCTATAGATACTAATAATATGAGAAGGTCTTGGCTTATATGAGAAGGAAAACTAACATAAATAATTCTAAAGAAATAACTAATAATCGTGGCATGCTGCTACATTCATGATTCACCAATGCACTTTTTAAACAGTAAGTAATGTAATGACATTGGGAAGGCACGGTTTCTCAGGTTGCGATAAATGGAAGATGAATTGATGGTTAATGTTTTAGGTGAGGGGAGGATGATTAAGAGATCTTACCTGTTGCTGCTACAACAGTGCAACAACAGAACAATCATTTTCTGCCTTGATACTTCTAAAGACAACGCTCCGCAACAAAATGGCCGATGACTTTCTTGCAGATTGCATGACACTTTATATTGAAAACTTGGGCAATGTTGATTCTTTAAATCGATCAAGGTGTATTTATTTTAATAGAAACCTATATATACTAATAATATGAGAACGTCTTGGCTTATATGAGAAGGAAAACTAACATAAATAGTTCTAAAGAAATAACTAATAATCATGGCATGCTGCTACATTCATGATTCACCAATGCACTTTCTAAACAGTAAGTAATGTAATGGCATTGGGAAGGCATGGTTTCTCAGGTTGCGATAAATGGACGATGAAATGATGGTTTCTCAGGTTGCGATGAATGGAAGATGAATTGATGGTTAATGTTTTTAGTTATGCTAGAGGCACAAAAATTTTTACAAAAAGTCTTACAAAAGGGGTATGTGGCATCATCACATTATTTAACACATCACATCACATTTATAACACTTTTACATCAATGGTAATTAGAATTGCCACATCACTTGTTTGTAAGTTTTTTTTGTAAGTGTGTATATTTTTTTAATAATAAATTTTTTCAATATTTTTTATTTTAATTAATTTTGAGTAATATAATTTTGGAATAATTGTAATGAGCAGCAAAACACTTCCAAGAGGTTGTTTTATATTAGCATAACTCTCAATTGCAATCTTACATAAAAAGTGTGCTTAAAAAGAAAAAAAGTATGCAATAATTTATTATTATTTTTTTATTTTTAGATAAAGTTTAGTGTTGTTTATCATGGATCGTAGCTGGATGTATGGTTTGCGAAATACTTCTCAATTTTTCAATGGTGTTCATGAGTTTGTGAAAGTGGTTGTTGCGCATCAGAAGTAACAAGGACAAAAAGGAATTTTATGTCCTTGTTCAATGTGCCGTAACATTAAAAGAGAGAATGACGTGAACATAGTTCTTCAGCATTTATTTGAGAAGGGTTTTAGAGAAAACTATATGACATGGACATTCCATGGTGAGAATCGTGTGGATGTCGAAGACCTTTTTTCTGGAGCAACTTCTAGTCATCTAAAGCGTAAAGCTACTCATATTACTACTACTTCAAGTGATATTGATGATGGTGTTGCGGATGATGATGTCAATGAAGATAGAATTGATGAACTCTTGAATGATGTTCATGATAATTTTGATTATCAACCAAAGTCTTATGAGAATTTGATTGAGGCCGCCAATATACCGCTATTCACGGGTTCTGAATTCTCCAAACTATCTGCTGTTCTCAAATTATTTCACTTGAAAGCTAAACATGGGTGGAGTAATGTTAGTTTCACTGAGTTGCTGATATTGCTTCAAGAAATGCTTCCAGAAGGAAATACACTTCCCGATACGAGCTATAAGGCTAGAAAGTTGTTGTGTCCAATGGGAACAGAATGGGAGAAGATTCATGCATGTCCAGCCGATTGCATACTGTACCGCAATGAATATGAAAACCTAAATGAATGTCCAAAGTGTCACGCTTCACGTTATAAGAAGAAGAAGGGTATTAATGTTGGGTTTGATGCTGAATACACCAAAACACCTGCCAATGTGTTGTGGCATCTTCCTTTCATTCCTAGATTTAAAAGATTATTCATGAATGAGAAAGATCCAAAAAACATAGTGTGGCATGCTCAAGGCAGGAAAAAAGATGAGTACTTGCGACATGTATCTGATGCACCACAGTGGAGGCAAATTGATTTGAAATATCCTGATTTTGGCAAAGAAGACAGGAATTTGAGACTTAGATTATGCACTGATGGTATGAATCCATATGGCACATTGAGTAGTCATCATAGTACTTGGCCAATTTTATTGGTTATTTATAATTTGCCTTCATGGTTGTGCATGAAGAGGAAGTACATAATGTTGTCTCTGCTTATCTCGGGACCACAACAACCCGGTAATGATATTGATGTGTACCTCGCACCATTAGTTGATGATCTTAAACTTATGTGAAATGAGGATGTTACAGCATATCACATGCACACAAAAACAAATTTTAATTTGCGTGCTTTGTTGTATTGCACTATTAATGACTTTCCAGCTTATGGAAATCTTTCTGGATATACGGTTAAAGGTGGAAAGGCATGTCCCATTTGTGAAGATGACACTCTTGATTTGCGATTACCCAATTGCAAAAAGAATGTATACATGAGTCATCGAAGATTTCTTCCACGAAACCATCATTATCGTGCACTCAAAAAGGCATTTAATGGAAAAGCTGAACATGGTGTTGCTCGACGTGTATTAAGTGGATCAAAAATATATGATAAGGTCAAAGATTTGAACACGGTTTTTGATAAGCCATATAAGCGGAACAAACAGAGTTTGTGGAAGAAGAAGTCTATTTTTTGGGAACTTCCGTATTGGAAGGACTTATCTGTGAGGCATTGTCTTGATCTTATGCACATTGAAAAAAATGTGTGTGACAACATCATTTCGACCATTATGAATGTTCCCGGAAATACAAAGGATGGAATTAATATCCGAAAAGACATGATTGAACATTTAAATATTCGAAAAGAATTGGCACCACAACCGCGGGAAAATGGTTTTTATCTTCCACCAGGTTGCTACACACTCTCAAAGGTTTAGAAACGAATTTTTTGTGAAAGCTTATATGGCATCAAAGTGCCTTCAAGGTATTCTTCAAATTTTAAGAATCTCATATCATTGAAGGATATGAAATTGGTTGGTTTGAAGTCTCATGATTATCATGTTCTGATGCAACATTTGTTGCCTGTTGTTCAACGAGGGCTTTTACCTGATCATGTTATATGTGCGATCATGAGGTTGTGTTTCTTCTTCAATTCCATATGTCAGAAAGTAATTCACCCTGAGAAACTTGATGCGTTGCAAGCTGAAGTGGTTATTACATTGTGTCAGCTTGAAATGTATTTTCCACCTTCACTATTTGACATTATGGTGCATCTTGTGGTACAACTGGTTAGAGAAGTCAAGATGTGTGGTCCTGTGTTTTTACGATACATGTACGGAATGGAAAGACATATGGGATATTTGAAATCAAAGGTGAAAAATCGATGTCGACCTGAAGGAAGTATAATCAGGGGTGTAATTGATGAAGAAGTCATTGAATTTTGCACACCTTATTTGATGAATGTTGAATCATTAGGTGTTCCAAAGTCTAGACATGATGATAGGAATGAAGGAAAAGGCATACTTGGAAAGAAATTACTAAAGAATGTGGACAATGAGTTAGTGGAAAAGGCCCATCTTCTCGTGTTGCATCATTTAGAAATTATTTCTCCATATGTGCAACAACATATGAATGCTTTGAAGACTCAATTTCCGTTGAAAAGTGAAGTATGGTTGACTTAAGAACACAATCGCACGTTTTCATCTTGGTTTAAAGACTTCATCTTCAATGACAGGAATGATGTTTATAATGAGGTTGATGAAGATGTTAAGTGGTTGGCTTATGGTCCTAAATGCACAATTGATTCATATGAAGCATACGATATCAATGGCTACACCTTTTATACTACCCGACAGGATGCCAAATCTGTATTACAGAATAGTGGGGTATCAGTGGTAGCATCTTCAACAGAATATGCAAGTTCAAATGATCAGAATCCTCTTTATGCAACAATGTCTTACTATGAAAAAATTGAGGATATATGGGAGTTGAACTACACGAACAAGAGTTTTTCACTTTTCAAGTGTCAGTGGGCCGATATTCAAAGAGGTGTTCAGCGTGATCAAACAGGAGTGACATTAGTGGATTTTACTCGACCCGGATATCGTGATGATCCGTTTATACTTGCATCCCAAGCTGAACAAGTTTTTTATGTAGTGGATCCCTCAAACAAACGATGGTCAGTTGTTTTACCAGGTAAGAAAAAATTAAATGTGGATGATTGTGACGTTGGAGAAGATGATTATATTGAAGATATGCCGTCATTGTCCACTGGCATGCATGACAGAAATGCAACAATCGATTACAATGAAGATGATCTTTCATTTGTTGGAAATCATAACGATGGCATAGAAATTTTCTTCAAAAAGTCAAAGTGATATCATGAGTGAATTGTAAGTAATCTTAACGTTATTATGTTTTTTTTCTTGAATTAAAATTCATTTTTCTTTCATATATTATTTGTGGTTCTAATAATAACACTGTTGCAGGAGCTACACACTATGAGTGATACTGATGGATATGACTTTATTCTCGAAGAGGAACCTCATGTTACGGCGGAGGAACATAGTAGCAGTGGGCGCAGAACTAGCGACGGGAAAAAAATAGTTGATTTTGATAAAAATGGTCAGCCAATTGGTGCGTGGGCGGAGAAGTTCAAATCTTTTGTGGGCAAGATAGCACGTGCTCGGGTAAACATCAACATTGAAAGTTGGAAACAAGTCCCCGAATCCCTAAAATTGCAGATGTGGAAAGAGATCCAGGTATGTACACTTAATTATATATTTTAACTTTATTAATAATAAGAAAAGATTACAAGTCCTAATGCATATATTAAATCACCACTATGTAGGATGAGTATTTTGTTGATGACACCATGTACAAGTTGACCATAAAAATGATGGGAAAGTTACATCGGGACTTTAGAAACCGATTGAGGACTGACTTTTTTTATAAGACACGACCAGTTGGACAGGATAGTGGTGAAGCTTATGTGAAGTATAAAGGCATTTTGACACAAGATGTGTGGGAGGATTTTATCGCTAGGAGCATGACTCCGGAGTTTAAGGTATAATCCAAATGTAATTTTATTGAATTCAATTTTGTTTTATAATGTGAATTCCATACTTTTTAAATTTTATGCAGGAATTAAGTGATAAAAACAAACAAGCTGCTTTACAGAATATTTACCCTCACCATATGGGTTGCTCCGGATATGCACTTTCCATACCGAAATGGAAAGATCATGGATTACTAGATCAGTTTTTGACTAAGTCTGAAGTGGATTCCACAAAATCTAGCGTATCTTCTGATGACATTCCGAGACATGTGAGTTGGTTTTGTGCTAGATCTGGATTGACAGCAGATGGACAACTAGCTTTCCCGAGTAACACCGAAGCCATGAAAAAGAAGAAAGAAAAACTTGTAAGTATGTTTCACATAAGTATATTTTACGTATAAACTTTTCACATAAGAATGTTTTACGTATAAATTTTGTAACTCTTTTTTATATGTAATAGGATAAAATTCAAGATGATGTTGCTACAGGGACGTGGAAGCCACACAGACGATATGATATTCTTACCGAGATATTTGAGAATCCTGATTATCCTGGACGTGTACGCGGTGTTGGAGGAGGTGTGGGGAAAGATACAGGATCAGTGGATGAACGATATGGAAAAAGCTTTTGCTCAAAGAGGATTCCAATCTACCACATTTCCATCTACGCATTCTCAAACAGTAGATGCAGACACTATGAACTCCACCGCACCTATTCCACGATTTTTTGTTGTTGTAAGTAATTATTAAAATCATATATATTTATTAATGTCTACAATATTTATTAACTTTTTTTTGAAAATAATTATAGGACGGTTCATCCTGTAAGCTAGCTGTTGAGTCACAAGCAGAAGATGGACACAAAGATTTGAAATATGTAGCAATGGCTTTGGCTTATAATAACGCCCTGGGGGCCATGATACATAATATTCCGATGTCTGCTAATACCATTAAAGTTAACATATCTATGATTTATACAGGTTTTGTGAAATGTCATCCTTTGTTTCCATAGTGTTCACAGATTTTGTGAGATGCAAATCTTTAAATGTTAGTATTATTTAAGTTTGTTTTTTGTTTCAATGGTTTTTACAGGTTTTGAGCAATGTCCTCTTTTAGTTCCAAATGAAATTGCTGAGATATATGTGTTGACAGACGCTATAGGATCATTTGTTGAGTGGCCTAGTCATTTAGTTTTTTTGAAGGAGAGGTGAATAAATAACTCTTTTCAATTATCAAACAATACAAAATTACTCTATACAAAATTGCTATAGATTATTATTATTATTATTATTATTATTATTATTATTAATATTATTATTATTATTATTATTATTATTATTATTTATATCATATAACATAAATTTTTTAATATAGAGCATACAGAGTTGCTTCCGCAAGAAATGGTGATGGAAAGCCAATCACATGGCATAATGTTAAGGTAAATTCATCAATAACTTATTTCAATCACCATTAACTTTGATACATATATTTTGTAAATTTGTATTTCAAAAAAGTATGCCAGACAAAACGGAAACACAGAATGCGGATATTATACCATGCGATACATATGGGAAGTGATTTCGTATGTTGATAGCTTTGATATTGGAAAGGTATATCATTATTTATTCTTATTTTTAAACTTCGTTTAATTTTTTCTAATTTAAAAGTTGTAATATTTTTTATTTATGTTTTATTTTATCTAAATATTTGTAGGATTGGTTTTCAAGAACTGAGGCATATTCTGAAGATGAGTTTAATAACATTCGCAATATATGGGCACGATTTTTCTTGGATGTACTCTTAAATATGTAAAAGTTGTTTACATTGATTATATATGTCGGAATTTTTATATTAGCAATTACGACATGCTTATGTTGGTTATGTATTGTGTTAAGTGTTTTTTGAAATCATTTTGATGAAGTTTTTTGTAATCTATGTTGGTTACTTGTTTACACTTTGCTGATTTTGTAATTTGTGTAAGTTCATGTTGTTGATATTGTGATGATTTTAAAAAGTTTACACTTTTGGTATTTTGTTAATTCTGTGGCAGGATGTACTTTTGAATGATCCTAAATACGATTGAATTTTTTTAAAAAAATGTTGAATACTTGCGGCGCTTATTTGTGTAAGGCGCCGCGAAAGTTAAAAAAAAGAAATTAATTTAATTTAGTTAAAAAAACATTTGCGGCGCTTATATTAAGAAAGCGCCGCACGGTAATTATTAATTTAAGAAAATATTTGCGGCGCCTATACGCAAAAAAGTGCCGCACACATATTAAATATAATTTTTTTAAAAATAAAATATTAGAGGCGCTTTTTTGAAATTAAGCACTGCACGGGTTAAATTGCGGCACCGAGATTTGCGGCGCCTAAAAGCGCCGCACGTTGGGTGATTTAAGCGCCGCAAAAAGGTAATTTTGCACCAGTGTATATTCTCGAGTGGCATTATAATATGAAGGAATAAGGCTTGTAATTGTCTAACGAAGGGAGTAGAATAAAAAACGAAAATAACATTAGATTTTTATTAATCGTAGGGTTGATGAATTCAAATTACTCACCGTCTTCACTTTTTTTTTACTCCAAGGGGCGTCTGGGGGAGGGGGGTTGGGGGATCCTGGAGTAATCTAGGTTGAAACTCACTCCATTTAGTTTCGAACCCGTGACCTCCCGTAATGGAGGGTGAGTCGGCGACCAACTGGGCTGATAAGCCTAATAAGCCGAAAAACATGGTTTCCAAACGGGCTCGTAGACACTCTATTGTTGATGAGTTTCTACACAAATTTATTGCTTATTTTGAAAATTTTCAATGTATTATCATTTAAGTGTTTCAGCCCACCCCAACATAAAATCCTGGATCCGCCCCCGGCTCCCTCCCTGCCTTGAAACTTCTAAAGACAACACTCCGCAACAAAATGGCCGATGACTTTCTAGAAATAGGAGGCTTCCCTCCTATTTTGGGGGATCCTTCTTCGCTTCTGTTATCCTCTTCTTTCTCTTTCTCTCTAAAGTTTGAATACTCCATTAATGGGAGCTTGTACAATGTAATAATGGTGAAAAGAGCATTCCAGCCCAACTGGTTGTGAGGTTACCGTGGTCCAGTACGGAGCCCGACTGTGGAGGCCCATTTCAGCCTATTAGGCTTTTTTCGGTCCCTTAGGCCCATTTTGGCACATTAGGGCAACCTAGTACCCCTTTTCTATTTTCTATAAATAGGAGGCTTCCCTCCTATTTTGGGGGATCCTTCTTCGCTTCTCTTCTCTTCTTCCTCTTTTTCTCTAAAGTTTGAATACTCCATTAATGAGAGCTTGTACAAAGTTGCCATAACTCACCTGATGATTTCCTACAGATTGTTGGTTTCATTGTTAGTCTTACAAATGAAATCAAGAAGTTGCTAATTGGTGATGCTTCTCCACTTCATGTGATACATAGGTGTACAATTAACTTCCGGATGAGAAGCCTGCAAAAGCTATAAAAAAAGAGAGACACCAACTTTAGTTGTAACCGCCAACAAACATATAAACTTTAATAGCTAAAAATGTTAAGAAACCTAAACAAAGATGATTAGGATATGATTAGCAAGTCTCAAAAAAGAAAATGAGGCCCTACCATTATTGAAAACTTGGGCAGTGTTGATTCTTTAAATCGATCAAGGTGTATTTATTTTAATAGAAATCTATATATACTAATAATATGAGAAGGTCTTGGCTTATATGAGAAGGAAAACTATCATAAATAATTCTAAAGAAATAACTAATAATCATGGCATGCTGCTACATTCATGATTCACCAATGCACTTTCTAAACAGTAAGCAATGTAATGACATTGGGAAGGCATGGTTTCTCAGGTTGCGATAAATGGACGATGAAATGATGGTTTCTCAGGTTGCGATGAATGGAAGATGAATTGATGGTTAATGTTTTGAGTTATGCTAGAGGCACAAAAACTTTTACAAAAAGTCTTACAAAAGGGGTATGTGGCATCATCACATTATTTAACACATCACATCACATTTATAACACTTATACATCAATGGTAATTAGAATAGCCACATCACTTGTTTGTAAGTTTTTTTAATAAGTGTGTTTGTACTTCTAGCATTTTTCTAATGTTTTAGGTGAGGGGAGGATGATTAAGAGATCTTACCTGTTGCTACTACAACAGTGCAACAACACAACGATCATTTTCTGCCTTTAAAATTCTAAAGACAACACTCCGCAACAAAATGGCCGATGACTTTCTTGCAGATTGCATGACACTTTATATTGAAAGAGATTGTTGGCATATATTATCCCGGCCTATTACTGTTCAGGAGCCCAAGACATGGCCCCAGTACGGAGCCCGAATGTGGAAACCCATTTCAGCCTATCAGGCTTGTTTCGGCCCCTTATGCCCATTTTGGCCCATTAGGGCAACCTAGTACCCCTTCTCTATTTTCTATAAATAGGAGGCTTCCCTCCTACTTTCTCATTATAGTAACTAATTTGTGGTTCCGGTCATTTCCCTCTTCTCTGCACAAACTTCAACCTCACAATTTTTACTGTTCTTATTTTCCACCTAATTCAAAGTGTGCAATAACCATTGAGACAGGGGTATTATTTAAAATATATTTTGTTAATAAAATAAATAAAAGATTATATAAAAACTAGCTAAAATGCTCATCTACAGTAATTTCAGCCTATACTGCCAGAAAAGTAATTTCAATCTTACTTTTTCTAATTTTTAAACAATTTAAGCTTGAAATTAAAACTTACATGTTTAGTTAAAATTTTGGCTGATAAGCCTAATAAGCCGAAAAACATGGTTTCCAAACGGGCTCGTAGACTCTCTATTGTTGACGAGTTTCTACACAAATTTATTGCTTATTTTGAAAATTTTCAATGTATTATCATTTAAGTGTTTCAGCCCACCCCAACATGAAATCCTGGATCCGCCCCTGGTTCCATCCCTAAAATCGCTGGGCTGCGCGAGGAAGGTGATTGACCGTACATGTATACTACATATCATCCTCACTTGTTTGTTTTCATTACGTTTGGGCCGGAAGCGTTGAATAGTTGAGCCGTGAAATATAAAACTCAATAGTATTGATATTAATAGCTATAATAAAGATCATAATAATAATAATAAAATTATTATTAATAATAAAACAATGGATTAATTGGACCATAAAGTGGGATATGAATTAGAAAGGAACTAGTATAATTATTAATTTGGAATTTTAATATTTTAGAAGGTGATCCGGAGATCAAGAAAAATGCTTCAAATAGGATTTATCGTGAATCGAGGTAAGTGTGTCTGTCAACCAAAACCTACTATTTTTCCTCGTCAATTATTTTCAGAAATTTATATGTGAATTATGTGCCATAATACGAGATTTGATATTATTTGAACTATGTGGAGGGTTTATACCTGTTAAAATTATAATCTATGACTTTTTGGATGAGTTTTGAAAAATGTGATGAGATACGCGAAATATGTCTCTTGTTTCCAAATTTAAGATTAATTTAATGATTTAATCACATTTTGAGAAAAAAGGAAAATATCTCTTGTCTGTCCAAACAAAAAAAAACATGGCAAAGTGAAATGTTTAAACCTATGAAAAAAATGTAGATATTATTATTAGGAGGAGTACATTAGTAATATACATTTAGCAATTTCTAGAATTAAGAATAATTTAATCATATTTTTGAATACTACGAAAAATGTCTCTTGTTCTCAGCTTTAAGATTAACTTAATCACATTTAAAAAAAAGGAAAATATGTCTTGTTTGTCCAAACAAAAAAACATGGCAAAGTGAAATGTTTAAACCTAGGAAAAAATAGAGGGGTTGTTATTAGGAGGGGTCCTCCTAATGATAATTTCCCATATTTTCCTATGTTTAAACATTTCACTTTGCTGTGTTTGTTTTTGGACAAACAACATATATTTTCCTTAGTTTTCAAAAATGTGATTAAACTATTCTTATATCTGGAAACAAAAGACATTTTCTTAGTTTTCAAAAATTAAATTTGATTAAATTTGGGGTAATTTGAGTTTGCATTGTAACATTATTTTGAATTAATCAATAATAATGTCCCATAAGTGTAGTGCAATGATGACGGATATTTGTAACGGTTTCCGTTACAAGAGTCACCTTGATGGTAGGTGATTATATATATATTGTTCCATGGTCCTCCCACTCCTCCTAAGGCATAAGGCTCAAAGCTCACATAAAGTATATACACCACCTAGATAGTGAGGAGTGAAGTGGGAGACGAAAAGGCTTTTCGGGGTTCTTCCACGTTCTTCGACCGTTCATCAACAATATGGCTGGAGGTTAGCAATCCTATTATTTCCGCCACGTTTATGTGATTTTAGGTTAATATTTGGTATCAGAGCCTGTTTAATCTCTGCCTATTTGTTGTATGAAGTTCAAGAATTTTATATGAATATTCGGTATATACATATTCGTATATGTGTTCATCACATCACACATATATATGATTTGTTCGTATATCTCTACAAAATTATAAGCATGAATCAATGTAAGGATATGTTGGGTATTAAAAATTTGTTGGTGGTACATCATAGCTTAATATATGTGTACCGTGTGATTAAAGCATTGCACATTGTTTCGTCTCTTTAAGTTCTGGAACAAACGGTTCAAACCTTCCGTTAGTAAAGCACTAAAACCTCATAGAGTCACTACCCTGTCCATCTCTAGAGTCTCTACTACCTTCAGACCCATGACCCATACAATTTAGCATTAGGGTTAACTGAGATGCCGCTCACAACCCACCCCACCCGGCTCAGAGGAAGCACGCACACCAGGGTTTCGCACCAGGCTTCTTTCCCTTCATCTTCAATATTTGGGTAAGTTATCTTTTTGTTTTGTTTTAATGTTGATTGGCATAAGACGATAGAGCAACACAGATTTGACACATTATTACTATCCACCATTCTCCAATATAAAGTCAAAATGAT